TGCTCAAGCAGGAAACCCTATACCATTTCAGACAAATGGCTGTTCAGTCTCTTCTTAAAAACTTCCAGTGTTGGATGTGCCTAGTTGTTTTGGCAAGCAATGCCCTATAGCTATGTGCTCAATACATAATGCGCTATAGCTGTATAGCTATGGCCCTAAACATACATCAGATATATATGCAGGGGAACCGCTTCAGATGTGCCCACACATCTGGAGGCAGAAGTTATCTGTCATGGTTCCGACAGATGAAACTCTTCAAAGAACTTCGAGGCATTGTTTACCTTAAATAATCTTTATTGGAGTAGCATAGCCTCGGCACATACATAGGCCAAGCCAAAATCTGGATTCCCCTCCCCTGAGCACATAGTATCAAAGCACAATTCCCTCCTCCAATTAACAGTCATAAATCACATTCTCCAATTAATTTGAAATGCAGGCTTTCCCTCCAGTTCTTCAACCCGCCATTTCTTATCATCTCTTATTTCAAAAAAACCTTGGTTCTCACGCTAGTTACAGTATTGTTATGTCTAGCTAAACTCTCGTGCATCTTCCTCCCCCCCCCCAGCATCATCTAATTCTAACTCTAAGAGTAAAACATAAAGTAAAGAAAAATGGCTGCATCTCCATATGTCGTCAAAGCAAGAACATCCGATGTTAGCAGCGCTGACACTATCTTCAGTTGCAGTTTCGTATGTAAAAAATGCAGAAATGACTTCTAAGGGGTGGAGAAAAAATATATATATCTGCCAAATGAAACCTTCCATCTGAATCCACCTGCATTTTCATCGGCCAAACTACTTGGACTCAGAGCCAGGCCGAAGTATGAACTTCATGAAATATTAGCAACGCCATCTAGAGTTTGTTCCTCTGTTTCTGAAAAGGGAGAGCTGCTTGTGTGAAGTAATTGAAGAAGACCCAAAGGTTCTTTTTTTTCAGGAGGAGACCACTGGACTTTCTGGTTTTTCCTTTGAAGACGTTTCTCTTCTCATCCCGGAAGCTTCTTCAGCTTTGACTGGATGGTGGAGGAATGGAAGGATTTATACTCCTTGCAGAGAGCTGGTCATTTGCATTCATGCTGCAGTCTACCACAGAGTCCTTTCAGCAGTTCCAAGAAGGCTCCACACCCATTTGCACCACTCAGGTGAACCTGAGGGCACAGGTAGACCTCCAAGTGGCCTCAAGAACTCTCTAAGAGAAGGCAAATGACCAGCTGTCTGCAAGGAGTATAAATCCTTCTATTTCTCCACCATCCAGTCAGAGCTGAAGAAGTTTCTTGGACGAGAAGCGAAACGTCTTCAAAGAAAAAACAAGAAAGTCCAGTTGCCTCTTGAAAAAGCCCCTTTGGGACAACTGAGGACACAGGTAGACCTCCAAGTGGCCTCAAGGACTCTCTAAAAGGATGCAAATGACCAGCTGTCTGCAAGGAGTATAAATCCTTCCGTTCCCCACCCTCCAGTCAGAGCTGAAGAAGCTTCTGGGATGAGAAGTGAAACGTCTTCAAAGAAAAACATGAAAGTCCAGTTGCCTCCAGAAAAAGCACCTTTGGGACAACCATGACCTGGATGGTGGAGAATCTCCTTAGACATTAATTGAAGAAGAAAAAGGCTACTGCCAAACTTCCTCTCCTCGTCTTCCTCTTATTAATTCTTGAGCTTAAGCTAAGATCTTTTCCAACTATCTATTGGAAAGTGATATTCTTTCTACTGCTCTCTCTCTCTCTCTCTCTCTCTCTCTCTCTTTCTCTCCGTCCACTGAAATAAGCCCAGATGGAGTCTGTTTACTTTGTAATTAATGAGAAAGGAAGGAGGTGATAAAATATTAACAATCTTTCCATACGTCTAGCCTCGCCGGCTTTAATCTTCAGCAAAGCCTCCATTCAACCCTCAAGGATCAAACAACTGCCACTCTCTAAGCCAGGGGTCTTCAAACTTGGCCCTTCGATGACTTGTGGACTTCAACTCCCAGAATTCCTCAGCCAGCCTCCATTTTGTTTGTTAGATTTAAGACAAGGGTCTTCAAACTTAGCCCTTGGATGACTTGTGGACTTCAACTCCCAGAATTCCTCAGCCAGCCTCCAGTTTGTTTGGTAGATTTAAGACAGGGGTCTTCAAACGTGGCCCTTGGATGACTTGTGGACTTCAACTCCCAGAATTCCTCAGCCAGCCTCCATTTTGTTTGGTAGATTTAAGACAGGGGTCTTCAAACTTGGCCCTTGGATGACTTGTGGACTTCAACTCCCAGAATTCCTGTCTGAGGAATTCTGGGAGTTGAAGTCCACAAGTCATCCAAGGGCCAAGTCTGAAGACCCCCTGCTCTAAGCCTTGCGAGAGACTCTTTTTAGAAAGCAGAACTTATTCGCATTAGCAGAGGCCAAAATTAAAGATCAAATCAATTCGCCGATATCTTACGTTTTACCACCATGTGCCATAAAAGCTGGAAAAAAGCTAACTACGGTCTTCCCGTCACCTCTAGGCCTTTTCCCTTCCATTCACGCTCCCCAGTGCAAAATGAAAGCCAGCAAGTTCACTCATGCGTCTTTACACACTCCTTAACTGTCGAAGAACCGAGTTCATCATTTATACAGCCATCGGTGGAAGCTGTATATCAAGCCAGATCAAGTCAACATTTCAGCCATGGGAAGAGCTCCTACTTTAGACTTGAAAAGACTTCCGTAGAGTAACCTCACTGAATACAGTATGCACATGGATCAGCTCCCCAAAAATAAGAATACGAGAAGGAGAAGAACTCAACCAGAAACAAGAGAAAAAGTCCAGCCATCATTCAATGTGGATTGATATTTCCTCTCTCAAATTTCGAGGACATTCGTGCGTTTATCTAGGACTTTGTCCCCCTAATCTTTAAAAAAAAAGAAACGGTGTTTGCATTGATTCATTTCAACAACGACAAAAATTTAAAAAACCGACAACAATCACACTAACAAAGGATGGTCTGGAGGAACCTGTCATTGGTTGCCACACACCCCGAGCCAAACAAGATGTGTGTGTGAGGCACAGCGCGAACCGGTTATAATGGATTAAACCCTTTTCTACGCACGTAAATTTGCCAAATTGGGTTTTCTGAAAAGGAAGCACTGAGGAAAACGATAACAAAGTAAAAAAAAGCATAAATTGAAAATGACGGCTGGAACGTACGGTTCCAGAGACCACGCTTACAAATCTCTAACCTGGATTTCATGAATTTCTTGAGACTGTGACGGTCCCTCGGTCTAAGAAATGCTGCTTTTCATTACTTGGAAGAAAGCTGTTTGTGTTAGTGTCGCAAGGATCCACCCTAAGGCTGGATTCTAATTAACCAAGTTCCCAAAGCTTTTCTCCTAAGAAAACTACGTAGCACCGCCCGGAATTTTTTAACCGAAAAACGGGTCCTAAATCTGATCCTACCAACTTCGGGGAAGACTCACCCCCCCCCTCCAAAACCAGAAAACCGAGGAAACAGAGACGACAATGCGAGAAAACAATAAAAAAACAAAAAGAGACAGAAAAACGAAACCCTTGACAGGTCGCACCCACCGTCACTCCGAGACACCGAGTAGAATAAATAATATTAAAGCTTTGGTGTTCAAAAGCCTGCAAGGAACTTTTTTTTTACTAACCAGGGGAGTGAATCGAAACACCCTGTGAGTCTCTTAAGAGGCACTTCCTATTTGACTTTCCCCAACTCCTGGGACATCCTTTAAGAAGAACCAAAGGAGCAGATGCCTGTCATAAAGGAAGCCCTGTGCAGAGAAGAGAAGAGAAGAGAAGAGGAAGGAAGGAAGGAAGGAAGGAAGGAAGGAAGGAAGGAAGGAAGGCAGGAAGGCAGGAAGGAAGGAAGGAAGGAGATAAGAGGGAAGGAAGGGAGGGAGGGAAGGAGGGAAGGAAGGAAAGAAGAAAGGGAAGGAAGGAACGAAGAAAGGGAAGAAGGAAGGGAGGAAGGGAGGGAAGGAAGGAAGGAAGGAAGGAAGGAACGAAGGAACGAAGGAAGGAAGGAAAAAAGGAAGAGAGGGAATGAAGGAAGGAAGAGGGACAGAAGGAGATAAGAGGGAAGGAAGGGAGGGAGGGAGGGAAGGAAGGAAAGAAGAAGGGAAAGGAAGGAACAAAGGAAGGAATGAAGGAAGGGAGGAAGGGAGGGAAGGAAGGAAGGAAGGAAGGAAGGAAGGAAGGAAGGAGAAAAGGAAGAGAGGGAAGGAAGGAAGAGGGACAGAAGGAGATAAGAGGGAAGGAAGGGAGGGAGGGAGGGAAGGAAGGAAAGAAGAAGGGGAAGGAAGGAACAAAGGAAGGAATGAAGGAAGGGAGGAAGGGAGGGAAGGAAGGAAGGAAGGAGAAAAGGAAGAGAGGGAATGAAGGAAGGAGGAGGGAAAGAAGGAGATAAGAGGGAAGGAAGGGAGGGAGGGAGGGAAGGAAAGAAAGAAGAAAGGGAAGGAAGGAACGAAGGAAGGGAGGAAGGGAGGGAAGGAAGGAAGGAACGAAGGAAGGAAGGAAGGAAGGAAGGAGAAAAGGAAGAGAGGAATGAAGGAAGGAGGAGGGAAAGAAGGAGATAAGAGGGAAGGGAGGGAGGGAGGGAGGGAAGGAAGGAAAGAAGAAAGGGAAGGAAGGAACGAAGGAAGGAGAAAAGGAAGAGAGGGAAGGAAGGAGGAGGGAAAGAAGGAGATAAGAGGGGAGGGAGGGAGGGAGGGAAGGAAGGAAAGGAGAAAAAGAAGGAAGGAACAAAGGAAGGGAGGGAAGGAAGGAAGGAACGGAAGGGAGGAAGGAAGGAAGGAAGGAAGGAGAAAAGGAAGAGAGGGAATGAAGGAAGGGAGGGAGGGAAGGAGGGAAGGAAGGAAGGAAGGAAGGAAAGGAGAAAGTGAAGGAAGGAACAAAGGAAGGGACGAAGGGAAGGAAGAGAGGAAAGGAAGGAAGGAAGGAAGGAAGGAAGGAAAAAAGAAGGAAGGAAGGGGAAGCCAAGAGGAAGAGGAAGGAGAAAGGGAAGGCAAGAGGCAGGCCAGGCAGCCCCCTACTCACGGTAGAAGATATACTCGGTGTAGCTGCTCCAGACCTTGTCCTCCCGGTACTGGTTGACGGCGGCGGCGGCGGCGGCGCCGGTGGAGTTGCAGGCCACCAGGTGGAAGCCGGCCTCGGCCAGCCGGTCGAAGGCCTGCTCCAGGTGGGTGTACTTCAGGTAGAAGCGGGAGGTGTACTTCTCCGGCGGCCGGTCCGGGTCGCGGCTCTCGTTCAGCGTCTCGCCGAAGGTCTCCTTGGCCAGGCCGATGCGGCCGCAGACCAGGATGCGGGCCACGCGGCGGAACCTGGCGTCCCCCTGCCCGTCCCGCACCGTCGCCGCCGCCGTCGAGCCCCGGTAGCCCAGGCTCAAGAAGCCCGAGCGTCTCTCTCCGGCTCGCGCGGACGGCAGCCCCGCCGGCAGCTCCACACCGCCTCCGGGCGGGCTGCCGTCCTCCGGGTCGCTCGGGCAGCCCTCGTCGTTCAGCGAGCCTCGCGGGGCGCCGCGGGCGGCCAGCAGCTGGGCCAGCCCGGCCAGCTGGAAGTGCTCGGCCTCCCGCAGGAGCCGCTCCTTCTCCGGGAAGTGGTCGGGCAGCGCCAGCTGCTTGTCGCGCAGGTAATCCAGCACGTACCTGAAGAGGAAGCCGTCGCGGTCGAGGAAGAAGCGGGCGCGGCCGTCGCGGGGCAGCTGGCGGGGCCCCCGCGAGAACATCTGGGCCAGGCTGCTGTCCGGCACGCTCAGCAAGGTGGAGTGGCGGGTCACGTAGACCTGGCCGCCCACGTTCAGCTCCACCACCTCGGGGAAGGCCGGGCCCGACGGCGGCCCCGAGGCCGGGACGGCAGCCGAGCAGCCGCCGGAGACCATCTCGCTGATGGGGAGGATGGTGGTGGTGGTGACGGTGGAGGCGCCGGGGCCGCCGCCCTCCTTCAGGGCCATGCCGGGGGCTGCGGCCGAGGCCAAGGCCGTCGGAAGCGGCCCCGACGGTCCGCGGCTCCCGGTCCGCGGCTCCGGGAGGGTCTCCGGACACGCGGCGGTCCGCGCGCGACCCTCCCTCGGCTCCTCCGTCCGCGGGTCCCGGTCTGCACCTTCAGGAGGGTCTCCGGAGCCGCCGCTTTCCACGCGCGACCCTCCCTCGGCTCCTCCGTCCGCGGCTCCCGCTCCGCGGCTCCACCAGGGTCTCCGGACTCGCTGTTGGCCACGCGCGACCCTCCCTCAGCTCCTCCGTCCGCGGGTCTCTGTCTGCAGTTCCACGAGGGTCTCCGGAGCCGCCGCTGTCCACGCGCGACCCTCTCTCGGCTTCTCCGCCCGCGGCTCCCGGTCTGCAGTTCCACGAGGGTCTCCGGAGCCGCCGCTGTCCACGCGCGACCCTCCCTCGGCTCCTCCGTCCGCGGGTCTCTGTCTGCAGCTCCAGCAGGATCTCCGGACTCGCTGCTGTCCACGCGCGACCCTCCCTCGGCTCCTCCGTCCGCGGGTCTAGGTCCGCGGCTCCACGAGGGTCTCCGGACTCGCTGTTGGCCACGCGCGACCCTCCCTCAGCTCCTCCGCCCGCGGCTCCCGATCTGCAGTTCCACGAGGGTCTCCGGAGCCGCCGCTTTCCACGCGCGACCCTCTCACGGCTCCTCCGTCCGCGGCTCCCGCTCCGCAGCTCCACGAGGGTCTCCGGACTCGCTGCTCTCCACGCGCGACCCTCCCTCGGCTCCTCCGTCCGCGGGTCTCTGTCTGCAGCTCCAGCAGGGTCTCCGGACCAGCCGCTGTCCACGCGCCACCGTTCCCCGGCTCGGCTCTCCTGTTCCTCCGGCGGCTGGGACCCCTGGCCGTCCGGGACCCCCCCCCCCGGAAAGCCTCCGCCCTGCCCTCCGGGCTTGGAGGAGTGGGGGGTTCTCCCTGCAGGAAGCGCCCCTCGGGGCTTCTCCTTCTCCTGCCGGGCGCGCAACAGCCCCGCTGGAGAGGTGGGGGGGGTCTCTCCCTTGCCCGGGACCACCACCACCACCACCCCCCGCTTGCGCTTCAGCCCCCGCGGGACCCTCGGCCGCTGCTGGCCCGCCCTGCGCGCTCAGCCCGGGGGCGCAGCGGCAGGGCAGGAGCCGCGCCCGGGAGGCCGGGCTGGATCCAGGGCGGAGGCGGAGGCTCCGCGGCTCTGCCTGGATCGCTCTGCCGGCTCGACCCGCCGCAGCAGTCCGGGGAAGCCGAGCTGACGTCAAGCGCAGGCAGCGAAAGGGAAGGCGAGCCGCGGGGACCTTGCGCAGCAGAGCCCGTCAGGAAGGGCGCGGGGAGGGGGGGGGAAGGGAAGGGGAGGGGACGGGGAGGCAGAGGAGGGGGACGGGACCTTCGGAGGCGCAAAGCCGGAGGAGCGCAACGGCTGCGGATTGGGCGCTTCGTCGG